TTTTTGTCATATACGTTTTTACATTGAACTGGTTTGAAATGGGTTTGATCAAAGTGGTTTGATCTTTTTTATTATAAAAAATTATAAAGTAAATTATTATCTATCACTCTTTCAAATCATGAAGCTTTTGTTTGTTTTCCATTTTATCCCTTCAATAAATATCCTAGCTTTTATCTTGATAAAAAGATAAAGGGTAATATATATTTTGAAAAATGCTGGTTGTACCTGCTGGTTGACACAGTACATGACAGAAGGAGCTGGAATTTTTGAATTAAAAAATCTAACAGCCCTATTTGCTTGCCATTTCAAAACCGGATGGCTTGGGGGCCCATTAGTCTCTCATTTTACATGGTCCATTAGCCTTTGCTTGGAAGTTGTTGCCTCCATTTCCTTCATCTTACTGAGAAGCGGGAAAAGAAAAATTTCCCCCAAATTATTTCCACCACAATCGACCGTTTGACACGGTCCATTTGCTCCAACGCTGCTTTTCGAGTTAATCAAAGAGATGACTAACAAAGGTAATGGATAGTTTGTTTAACGCCAATTTTTTTTTTCGGTTTGACTTCTCTATTGATCAGTTAAAATAGAAGGAAATGTGACTTACAAATTTGTGCTAAAATGTGCTAAAATGTGCAAGTATTATTTTCTCTTAACATGTTGCCATGTTATCTCAAGATTGTGAGCTTTAGTAGGTGCCCAGTGGTTCAAATGTTGAAGTGTTTCTATATTTGCTTGCCATTTTAATGCAACATGCAAACCCTTCTGTTTTACATAGCTCCTAAAACATTGACTTTCATGGTGAATAAATTTTGGCAAAAATGTTCATGTACTATTTTATCCTAACATGCTGCTCTGTTATCTGAAGATTGTGAGCTACTATGTTAACATTGTAACTGATTTTATGTTACAAATAAAGATATTTTGGATGACGTGGATGACATTATTGTGGTAGAAGCCGAGTCCGAGAATGTTGTGGGGAATGTGAACTTATTGGGTGATGAAATCGTAGGACGAGATGGTGCGCGAATGTCGGAGGTCGGTATGAAATTTAATGACGAAAATGAATTGTTTGATTACTACAAAAAATATGCATACGCTGAAAGTTTTCCAGTTAGAAAAAGAAATTCTAAATAGGACGACGACGGTGTTGTGAGATATGTTACATTGACATATAGTCGTGAAGGAAAACGAAGCAGTACTACAAGCAGTTCTTTGAAACCGCAACCAACCATTCAAACAGGTTGTAAAGTGAGATTGACTGCATCTATGGATAGTCGTGGAATATGGAGAATCAACACATTAAACCTCGAGCATAATCATAAAACCAGTCCATCAAAGTCGAGGCTATATCGATGCAATCGAGAGTTGAGCACACATGTTAAACGACGGCTAGAAGTTAATGACAAGGCAGGAATTCCCTTACACAAAAGTTTCAACTCTACAGTAGTCGAAGCAGGTGGATACGAAAATATGACATGCGTGGAAAAAAATTGTCGAAATTATGTTGAACAAGTTCGGCGTCTAAGACTTGGAGAAGGAGACGTCGTAGCAATACAATCCTACTTTTCGAAGATGCAAGCTACTTGCTCCGGGTTTTATTTTAGTATGGATTTGGATGAAGATTCGAGACTAAAAAATGTGTTTTGGGCAGATAACAGGAGCAAACAAGCTTATAAAGAGTTTGATGATGTTGTCACATTCGATACCACGTACCTCACCAATAAGTATGACATGTCGTTCGATCCTTTTGCTGGTATTTATCATCACGGACAATCGACCTTGCTCGGATGTGGGAGTCTATCGAATGAAGATACAGATACATTTGTTTGGCTATTTAGGACATGGTTGCAGTGTATACATGGCGAAGCCCCCCAAGGTATAATTACCGATCAAGATAGGGCTATGCAGAATGCAATTGAAATCGTGTTTCCTTATACGAAGCATAGATGGTGTCTGTGGCACATATTGAAAAAATTACCAGAAAAGTTTGGATATCACGTTGATAAAGGTTCGATTTTCCATACTATACACAATTTAGTTTACGATTCACAATTTATTCAAGATTTTGAAGAAGGTTGGAGGGTAATGATCGACACATATGATTTGCATGATAATGCCTGATTGTCGGGGCTTTATGAGAATAGATCTCGGTGGGTTCCATGTTATTTCAAAACCAGTTTTTGGGCAGGGATGTCGACAACTCAACGCAGTGAAAGTATGAACGCGTTCTTTGATGGGTATGTACATGCAAAGACTTCGTTAAAGCAATTTGTCGAACAATATGAACGAGCTTTGAGGAGTAAAGTTGAGAAGGAAATTCAAGCAGATTTCAAATCTTTCTCACAGATGGTACCATGTGCAACGAAGCATGAAATGGAGAAGCAATTTCAAGCCGTTTATACCATTTCAAAGTTTCGAGAAGTTCAAGAAGAGTTCACCGGGAAGCTTTATTGTGACTTAATATCTACTTCAGAGGGAAGTTTGGGGACAACATATGAGGTATGCGAGGAAGAGATAAATGATGAGCGATCAAAGAAAAAAACATTTGTCGTCTCTTTTCAGAAGAAAGACTGTGAAACTGTTTACAGTTGCCACTTATTCGAATTTCGAGGCATAATATGCAGGCATATGATTACAGTATTGATCCGTAATGGTGTCAAACAACTACCGGAGAGTTATATATTACGGAGGTGGCGGAGAGATGTAAGTAGAGCCCACACGAGGGTCGCAATTAATTATGATGGTTTGATTAGTACTCCGGGACAGTTGAGGTATGACAAACTGTGTTAGTCTTTCGCTACATTGGTAGACCTAGTTGCAGATGATGAAAGCAGAGCTGAAACCTTACAAAAATGGATCGAACATGAATGTAAACAGGTAAAAGCATCGAAATCCAATGTTGTGAGTAATGTCATATCTTCGCATGGTACACCAATCGCCTCACAATGTGGATCATCACTAGAAGCTACCAATAGTGGATTACTTGATCCTAAGTGTGCAAAGAGAAAGGGGGCGCCAAAGAAACTTCGTAAAAAGAGCCCGTTGGAATCTAGTTCAAATAAAGCAAAGGTACATTTCACATTTATATTACCAATTGCGTGTGGGTTGTTTACTTTCTAGATATAACTAACGTGTTAGGATGTCATGCAGGGAAGTTTGATTACATCCAAAGGAAATAGGCCGAAGGCTCGGCCAAGTAATGTTGGCGTCGATGCGGATGTCGTTCAAGTACCTCAACATTCACAATATTGCATGACTACACCGTTAACATATACGCAACTCCTATTGGTTAGTATATGTATATGATGAAATTATCTCAATAATAACATATTTATCACAAACAAAATTTATTTATGTAGGGTGACAATCAAAGTCTTGCATTCACACAACAAAATTTAATACCTCCGTCTAGCAATCATGTTCACTTCCATGATCAAGGTAATTATACGGCTAAACATTCTACATATAAAGTGCATCATCCATTTTATTTCTTGTTCGGGCATTTATGAACGGATTGTACAGATTTTCAAGCAGTGCCATACTTTTACCCAAGCTTACTGGACCGAGATGGAGGAAACCAATGATTGCTTCATATTGGCTATAGCGCTTGCACTAATGGACCAGATGATGCCCACAAAGGTGTAGTGCTCTGTGTCTTTTGTATTTGGAAGCAGGATGAAAATGTATTGGACAGTGTCTTTTGTATATGGTCGGGTCTGTCTCTTTTGTCTTTTATTATTAATTGCAAATTTTTTGGAGCCTGGAGTGAATGATAGATACGGCATTTATGGATACCATTAATTGCAAAAATTCCAGCATCATTCAGTAAATTTAATCCTACCAAGCAGCTTCCTGTCTATCTTTATTTCAATGCAACTATATATCAGATCCATGGCTTCTACTATTTAAAGAAATATATGTGCTTTGACATCTTGAAGTGCATGTGAAACCATCATAATGGTCAATAAACTACCACTTCATAAACTATAAACCAGTAGAATTGTACAATCATTGGTCATAAACTATAAGCTACCACTTCATAAACTACTTCATAAGCCATCTCAATTTACTGCAAGTCAGTAGAATTGTACAATCATTGATCATAAACTACCCATATTAACCCATCATAATGGTCAATAAACTACCACTTCACAAGTAGATTTGCATAATGTGAATTGCACCATGTGGATAATCTTTCTCCGTCGGCTTTCAATTCAACCCCTGTATCCCTCTTCAATTCAGGCCATTGTAATGGTCCGTTCAACCCCCTCTTCAATTCAAGCCATTGTAATGGTCAATATGATAAATTCAAGCCATCACAATGGTCAATTCCACCCCAGAATACCTCTTCAATTCAACCCATTGTAGTGGTCAATATGATAAATTCAAGCCATCACAATGGCCAATTCCACCCTAGAATACCTCTTCAATTCAACCCCAGAATCCAACCCTCCCGAGGCAGAAGTGCTACGCCCAGTCTGACTCGATTTTGTAGCCTACAAAATCATCTGCCTTTCATGGATTCTCCCCTCTGCCGGCGGCTCCACTCCCCAGGCTGCAATAAACATCAGCAATGCCTCTACCAAGTCTCCTACGGCCATGGTTCCTTCTCCGTCAGTGAGCTCTCCACTGAAATACTTACTTTTCGTCAAAATCGAGTTAAGGAGTTGCTCGCCTTTTGTTGGTTCGCCGTCGTCGCTGACGATTCACCGTCGCTCGCCATCGATTCGCCGGGTTGTGGTCGCCTTCCAAGGGTTCGGGTTGCCTTTGAGCGGGAATGAAAAAGGGGCCGGGTTGTTTCACTTGAGCATTATCTTTCTTTTTCTTTTTTTTCCCCTCATTTTCCATGTCGTTCTGTCATGCACTTCTGTCATCCGGTTCTGTACGAATAGCAAGACTGATATATTTTTTCCTCGTAGCCACACTTGTTGACTCTTCTTATGTATCTATATTCATCTTAAACGAAAATGGGGTAGCTTCCCAAATACTCTCTCTCTCTCTCTTTTTCTCACTGTACATGAGGCCAAATATCTATTCTTCCATTCATTTCCATTTATCTTCCTTTCCAACGAAGAATCCCTACCAATCCTCTCTCCATATTTTCCCCTTTCTTCCTAAACAGAGAAAGGCATGTGTGTTTGAGACAGCAAGCGAGCTGGATTTTGGTGGGTCTCGATTTTCTTGGATACTGTAAGTCATTTTCCTTTCTTGGGTCTCTTGTCTTCTCGTTCCTTTATACATTTTTCCTTTGATTTATAATTCACTATTGATGTGCGTGTCGTTTACCCATCATGTTTTTATGGTTGAATAGTTTAGAGGAATTATTTTTTGTTTCGTTTAGGTCTTTTGGTTATGTATCCACCGATGAGGTCGCTTCACGGTGTTTCGAATTGGATTCGGCGGACAGCGGTGGCTGCCAAAGGTGAAAGCGTTTCTGGTGGTGGTGAGTGGCATGGCAGCATTGGTGCTTCTCCGTGTTATTGTTTAAGATCATGACAATCTTTTTCTAGCCTCCGAGGTTGTTCATTCCATCGGAATTTCAATTCTTATATACAAGCTCATGAAGGAGAAAACTTGAGCTGGTACTAAACTTTTTTTTTTGTTCACCTTTATACGTTATGACTTGTTAAATATCTAAACTTGCGTTTTTGGAGGATATATGTTGTGACTTATTAAATATCTACACTAACTTTTTTGGAGGATAAGGAAAAAATCTTCTCTTTATGAACCCCATAATGAAGAGAAAATTCAGTGAACCATTTATTTTCTTTGATCTTATGGGAAATTTTTTTTTTTACATTTCCTCGAATGGGATTCTGATGTTTTAGGTTAAATTTGGTTATGTGTACTATATTCAAAAAGTAATCTATCCTTGAAACTGATAGTATAGGATTTTATCGAAACATTGATTCTTCATCGCAAATATCTTTCTTCAATTCTCAACATTAAATACGCTAATATTACCCTTAAAAGAAAAATAGTTCGTGCATTGCACAGGCAAAAAGGCTGGTTATAATAAAAATTAGAATATTTATATTATAATTCTATTTGACACATTATTTTTTTATGACAATATTTTTGGAAAATATTGTGATGTTGCTCAAAGTAGTACCACTTATATAAATCAAAAAATAAATATTCAAGATTATTATTATGCTATTACTTCCGACAATTATATCAATTTATACTTATTGAGTAGATATTTTGTTGTTGTTCATCAAGATACAAAATTAAGCTATATCAATATTCTTATGGATCATAATGGGACAGGATATAGTCGAGATGATCATTACCATCCTCTTCCCATTGGAGATTATCGGGAGGTGAGGTGGGTACCAAGCAAGAGTGAGGGCGAGGGGAATAAAAAATCCCCATCAATTGTCATGTTTGATTATAGTAGTATTATTTTTTAAATGCTATTTAAATTAAAATAAATAAAAATAAAAAATTTGGGATCAGCCCAAGAAATTTGAGTTGGAGTTCATATTCTTCCTCTCCGTCTCGTTTACTATGGGGTTATGTGAGGCGGAGTTGGAGAATTTTAATATCTCCAAATATTCTAGAAGAAATGTACGTTAATTAAGAAGAAAAGGAGTTCCTCGTTTTGCCGTTACTTGCATTCATTCAATAAATAATTATGCGATGAATTTTAATAATATTCACACCACAAAATTTATTAGTATATACTGTGTATTTCTTATTTTTCTAGAGTAATCATTAAAGGGAAAAAATTTATAACTAAGGGTACGTTTGATTCACTTCCAATTCCATATTCCACTTTTGTTGGTGTTTGATAGACATTTATTTCTTGGCAACAAATTTCAAAAATAAGATATTTATTAAAATTTATTTATGATTTAATTAATTAATTATATATTTTATTAATTAAATATATTAAAGTCGCAAATCTATATAATTTAGTCATAAATTAACGATTTAGTTGTGGTAATATTCACTCATGAAAAATGACATAATAACCCCAACTCATAATACCCGTATAATTAAGCCCACCACACGTAAAACCTAACCCATATATTTACATACACCGTGAATAAAAATTCTATCTCATATGTTTCGGCTTAAGTACACCACAAATAAAAACCATAATCAAATTTATCACATTTTGTTCAATTTTCATATATGAATTTCAAGGTTGCAGGTGGTTGTCTCGGCCATATTCAATTATCACAACAAAATCCGACAGCCAAAAATTCTAGGTTTGAAAACAATATTAATAAATAAATTACAACTACTGACAAATTTAACATTGTAACTAGTTTTTCTTGCTTCTCATCAGTTTACCTTCTAATGGGTAGCTGTGCTCTAATTCCTTTAGTTAGCTAAGCTATGGTCCATGTTGATGCATTGTTGTGAATTCGAACTGCATTACTGGGAATTTTGGAAGTATATTTGGTGGCTTAGGTTTGTTGCTGGTAAAATTCTGTATTTTACAAAGGTTTGGTTGGGGAGATGACATGCTACGAGACGGAGGATACAAATTGTTATATTCATAACACATTTTTGTATAAATGCACCACTTTATAATTGAATAATTAGCCTTTTTCTTAATGGGTTTGGGCTATATTGATAACATGTATGTGATGTAAATATTACAAATATATTTTAGTTAGTGTGTATTTTTAAGGTGGTGTGACTAATAATTTCGTGGTGTGAATATAACCACTCAGGTAGGGGCGAACCCACATGGGGTCATGTGGGGTCAAATGACCTCACAGTTTTTTGGAATTTATTTTTTATTTTTTGTGCTGCAAACGTAATTTTTTTTTTCTCCTGCTGTCTGCTCCCAACAACCAAGTGACCAACCCAATTAATTTTCCTAGTCGAATGCTCAAAAAGCTCAAATCCTAAATCTATATCCTTATCACATGGTCCATATCCATTAATTAGTCCATAAATATATTATATAATCCACCAATTTCTTCCCAAAGTGCAAACACCGAACACGAATAGCAAACCACCGATTTCTCTTTTTTGTTCATGATACATTGTTTGAAAAAAAAAAATTTATTTTTGACCCCACAATTCGAAGTGTCTGGATCCGCCCCTGCACTCAAGTTGTCATCTCCCGAACATATTGATCCATGTCTCAGCCTACTCCATGAGTTCCAATTTTCAAGGATTTTAGACAGACTGAATTCCATTACTAATGATCCAGATGTGGATTTGGTCACCAGATGGGGATATACATGAAAATGGCCCAAATAGTATATAACCTTTTCCAAAATGGCCTTTGACTTTTTTAGAAATTTGAAACTACCCAAAATATCCTTGGAAAAATTTAACAACCAACCCTTTATATAGTAAAAAGTTTCTTTTTTAGCCCTTAAAAAATCTAACAAATAATTTTTCTAAAAATTTGTAAAAATTATTAATGAATAATTATAAAATGGAAAAGCTTAAATATAAGAGAGAACCATATAATATAAAAAAGGTTGTTAAAAATAAAAAAGAAATTAAATTTGAAAAAGAAATTGATAAGATAGGATATCAAGAACAATTATATGCATCACAAGAAATATTAAAATGTTTTAAAGAAAACTTATTAGAAAATTTCGCTAAAGGAATTGTAAGGTCAATAATCATAAAAGATATACAAGATATAATAGATAAATTGGAAAAAAGAAAGAAAAGTATCTCAAAATACGAAATACCTTTTGGAACAGACATAGATATGATAACAGATATTGATATTATAAATTCTCAAACATTATTAGACTTTGAAGAATTACTTAAAAATTTATGAGATTAAAATTTTTGATATTTTGATTATTAGATTATTAAATTTTTGTTCGCTCATAGTAGCACCCAAAGAGTTGGTATCAGAGCCATAGAGATCATGGAAATCTTAAAAATAAATAATTATTATCAATGTATTGAAGAAAAAGGATGTTATATATTTTACAACCCTATCCCTAATAAACTAAAAATAATAACATTATATATAACTAGTAATTTACCTAGAGAAATAAAAGAACAAATATTACATAAATTAATTGTAGGATTTATCAAAGATAAACGTACATATGAAATAATTTGTGAAATATTTGAAAATGAGTTGTATTATAGAGAAATATATGAATCATCATAAAATATAATGGAAAAAACTAAAAATATTTTAGATAGAAAGTTAGAAAGAATAAGATTAATAAATAATAAAATTTTAGATGAATTATTAATACCTGGAGAAATAACTAAAACTCAAGAAAAACAGATATTAAAATTAAAACAAGAAAGATATAAAGAAAAAGCAAGATATTATGAAAAATTAAAAGAACTGACAAGTATTGAAACTATAAAACAAAAGTATGATAAAATGATAAAAGAATGTAAAAATGCTGAGTGTGTAGTATTTTATTATTGTCAATCAAAAAATAGATAAAATGTCAATCAGTGAACATATGGAAGAATTAAA